GTGCCCTGACTTAGATCAGCCCAGAGGTTGTTTCAGGGTTCAATCTGTGAGTTAGCCATGCCCTGACTTAGATCAGCCCAGAGGTTGTTTCGAGGTACGATCTGTGAGTTAGCTGTGCCCTGACTTAGATCAGCTCCAAAGTTGTTTTAGGGTTCGATAAAATTTAAAGGGTTTTTTATCAATCGATTACTTAGTATGACTTGCACATGTATTCACCCTAGATCCAGGGAGATACTTCGTTTGGAGCCGAGTTCACGTTTTCTGTCCATGAGAAGGAGCTAATCGTGGGTGAGATCTTTGTACGGATCTATAATGAACAACCAACATTCCCTCTTGAGGTACGTACACTTATATACTCACTTCAATCAAAGTGGTCACCAAAAGCCCAGAAAGCTGAGACTGCTGGGGATCATGGGAAATATTTCAAATCAAGCAAGTAAAATGTTAGCAGCTTGAGGATGCTAAAAATAGGTTAACTGTTCTTGGTAAAAGATCTAAAAGCAATCAATAACAAAGCATCTTATTCTTAAGAGTCTATAAATGATCTATAATTTTCATCTTCCAGGCTCCACAGAAATTCGTTCTAGAACTGGTCAACTACTTAGGCTCAGACGCACAGGTAAACTTCATTGCTTCTTCTACTAAGGGTCCTGAAATGGTAAAATGGGATTTGCTTTTATTCTGGCGCAGTATGAATAAGATTTAGGTCACTGGGAACGGGAAATAGGTTTGTCATGTCGCTAATTACTCGGGCTTCCTGTGGATGCTCAAGGTTAAAAATTTCGTTTTTCTTCTTGGCTCTAGGCGCATGCGCTTGTGTCGCTGAGTTAAAAATCAAAGACTCACACTTCAGAATATTCTCAGAACAAGACTAGAGAAGAGAAGATATGAAGAATCGAGAGACGATAAGGGGTTGCAGGGGGAAATTTGTCTTAAGTTATGCACGTCTGAGTTAAACGGTGTCATCTATCTGTGGAACTGGGATTTTGCCAAGCTCAAGACTTGAGATTGGATTGGGATATCCCTTCCTTGTTTGTCGTGAAAGTTTGTTCATATATGTTGTCTTTGTTTTGCATCAGTATTTGCATTCGTTGATGGCACTGACCGCCTCAGAGCTTGATGCTAAAGCCAATAAAGAACGACTTAGGCAGGCTGTCATGGCGCTGGAGGCACTAAGGAATGTCATCAAGAACAACCCAGGTAATACGATAGGCTATGAACAGGAATAGGGGGATATGACACTAGTAATCATTGTCATCATCATTATCATCATCATCCAAAATAACCATAAATAACGTCAAAAAACACTACAAACACAGTCATCGTTGTCGTCGCCATCATCATCATTGTCATCCAAAATAACTATAGCAACAAGTAAAACCACTACAAACGTGCATCATCATTATCTTCATCATCATCTTCATCCAAAATAACCATAACACAGACGTCAACAACTACAACAACACAGCATTAACCAATGATGTTGATAATCATAACGACAAATACAGAAACCACAACATACGCCTTGAAAACCTCAACAATAGCAACAGCTACAGTAGCTGTTTCTTCTTGCAGTAACAATAGCAACAACTACAGTAGCTGTGTCTTCTTGCAGTAACAATAGCAACAACTACAGTAGCTGTGTCTTCTTGCAGTAAC